CAGAACGCCCACACCAGTTGCAGCCGTAAAAAGATGCATGAATCCCTAAACCAATGTCCAGCCTTCGTCCAAAATCAACACCAGAATCCATGCAAAACTTGTTTTGTGTACTTTGTCCGGGATTGGAACCTCCTTTGTTTGGTTTCGGCTTGGGTGACCTCTCCTGATGAGAATGATTTGGCCCTTCGGCGTGTTCGTGCCATTGCCCCCACGACGAGTCTCGTTTTTCGGAAATGCCGCTTTCCTACTCACCCGAGTCACTTGAACACAGTCGTGGGTTTCACTCCATGTGGCACGTTCGCGCGGGTTGCAGCTTCTAGGGTTGTTTCTCCTGTCGTTGCCAGGTGTGTCCTGGGTTTCGCCGTCCTCAATGTGGTGAATGCGGTGTCTCGGTTTTTCTTCTGGTTGCGACCAAAGCTGGAATAATGTGGAGCAAGGAAGGTGCTGGATCATTGTTGTGTTTCATACTTAGGTCCGAAAAATGATCAACTGAAAAACACTGTACGTCAACTTCCAGCTGGTGTAGACAGTGCAAACCATCACATGCAACCAACGCTCCAATAGAAGAACAGCTCGAAACCGCTGATTATATAAAGCACGCTTGTGGTGTGGTGGTTGGTATTCGAACGGCAGCAGCCAGCGCTTCTCACCAAGCGTGTTGGCTTGAACCCGTGGGGTGGGGAAGATCGGTCCGCCCATGGCGGACGAGGTCTTTGTGCAGCAAACCATGCGCACGGCCAGCTCGGACGAGGAGTTGGCCTACAAACAGAGGCTGGACGTGCTTCGCGACGGTAGGCCGACAGGATGGGGGTGAGTGGAGGGTGAGAATTCGTGTGGTTCGGTTCGGATGTATGAAAGATAGGTCAGTCTTATGATGTCTTCTGTATAGAATTGTATACTGTAGATCTATAGATGAGTTTAGGGGAATTCAGGCAGGTGTTGCTTGGTGTGAAGATTGGGACTTGGGATTCCCTTCTTCACGAAAAAAGAACACTTCTTGGCTTGCCCGAACTTGATCAAACTGGGCAAAACCAAGTGGCCAAGTGTCCCGAGCAGGTGGCTCATGAGTCCGGTCCGTTGATCCTTTAGCCCATGGGTTGCTCTACCCCGCTGGTGGTGGGTGAAGTTATGGTGAATTCATGCCTGGTTTCTGGGATTGAAAGGTTTTGGGCGACAAAGGCATTGGAGGCCATGATGAAACACATATAAAGACATCATATCCTAAAGGCACTGGAATGCTCCAGAGGATTTTCCGCTATGTTTTCCACACGCTGTTGGTTTGGGCATTGGATTTTCTTGTTTCAATGAACCCAACACCACACCGAGAGTGAGTTCTACACACATCTGAAGATCTATGGATGACATTCAATATTCAATAGCAATAGGAAGGATACCACTGCCATTTATTTGCATACCCCAAGTGGTTGTGACATGTACAACATATGCATGCAGGTCTTTGGCTGATCCCGTAGCTGTTCTTGATGCTTCCCATCCAGAACCAGCCGCGTAATCGATGAGACGATGAGCGGAGGCAGAAAGAGATTGCCCTCTATACAAAGAAGGCCAGGGTCGGACGGCTTTTTGGACGATTGGGGCATAGAGACGCAACAAGAACTGGAGGACATCATCATCCCCATAGCCCCATGGCATTGAAAAACATGTTGTCGAACCCCCAGCTGGAGTTTGTTTAGAACACATCCAACTTCAAAGCACAGTCATGCTTGCGTTTGGGGCGGGAGTTTGTGACACTCAGAGTCATTGTTGACTTGGCTAAATCCACTCGCGGAGCGGTTAGACATGGCTAGACTCAGACCGTTGGACTCACTTCTAGTAGATTCTAGTAGTCTATGGGGTGTCCCGGTGTCAGTACCCTTGGCCATTTCATGAGATCGACATCGCATCCGAGTCCATTCCCTCACCCGAGCTGTTTCCTCGCTGTCGCCTCATAGCAGTCGGTTTCTCGTGGAGGGATCTATACATATAATTCATCTCAAACTTACTGAGATGGAACAGGGACGACATGTTCAGTTCTTTTTTAGAAGAGCAGTTTCCATAAACAGAGATGCAGCCATTTTCCTGTGTTATCTTCTAGTTATAGTTTGCCAGCTCAACGACGGGTCCCCATCCCTCCACTATCTCCAGGTGAAGAGATTGTTTCAGAATATGGACTCGACTCTTGGCCGCAGGGCTTTGCCTGTGCGGGTTGTGACACGAAGAGTCGAGTCTTCAGATTCTTAGGATTGATGAGCATTAGAAGATGCAACAATTTGTATCAAGAGTCCTTTTCTTGACCACGCCGGCTATTCCCAACTCATCACATTTTGGCCAAGAAGCCAAACAGGCGAGCCTCCCATGACTATGCTCCCTGTTCCGGCCCAACTCTGGGCAACATTCCTTGCCACCCAAGCAGAGACCCAAAGCTGCGTGTCAGCTCGAGCTCCAGGGCATTCCCGGATCACCCACGTCGCCGTCACGTCTCCACACGGGGGACCGCGGTGAAAACGCTCGGTCAGACGGTGTGAGTCCCAGGACGGGCGACGGCGCCATCAACCTGGAGGAGTTCTCCAAGTTGGTCCAGTCGCCGAAGCTGAAGCCACCCCGGCGGCACTCGGGAGCGCCATGCGTGGGTGGTTTTTGTTTTGGTGAGCCGCGGTGCAAACAGGGTGGGAACACGTTTCGAGGATTTCAACCGCGAGCCATGTCACGTGTTTTTGTATTTGTTTTTTAAGAATATTGCCCTCTGTGGGGGTGCCAGGGTTTATCCAAACACATCAAAAACACGAAGCAAGCCTCAAAGACTCAGGGCTTGATGAAGCGCTGCGCTGCGCCGGTGCCACCGGTTTGTGGGATGCTCGTGGCGGGAAGAAGGTCCCAATGAGTTCGATTGGTTCAGGTGGAGCCACTGGTGGATGGAAAAAGAATGAAAAACACAAATGAAGACAAGACAATTAGTTCAGATCGTCCAGATTCTTGTGAGGTGGTATCTTCGATGACGGTATTTTCCAGAGGATTCTTTGGGTTGCGAAGGATGTAAACAAAAACATGAAAATAGGGGATACTATAATGCAGATCTGGGCTGGGTGCGATTTGGCAGGTCCGGCCCAGGGCTGCATGTGGGTTGGATACGATCGGATGGTGAGGTTCAGCACTGCAAAGAAGAGGGAAGGTCGAACTGGAGTCGTTCAAAAGATATGTTTCTGATACTCTTGGACCAGTTCTTGGACCCTTTTGGTTCATCATTGTTCCATTTCTTCAAAAGATCCCAGCCTGACACTTCCCAGCCTGAGGACAAGCATCTCCCATTATACGAAGTCCAATGAGTAGTCCGTCCTACACGATGGGTTGACTGGGATGAAGTGCCATCCATCCGTTCAGGTTTTGGATGAGCCAGTTGGAGTCACTTGGGCATCCAGCGCAAGGGATGTGGGACGTTTCATTGACTTGGTGCAGTGTGCGCCGGTGTGCGCGTGTGTGTGTACGTATATTCTTCCGTGCTAGTATTGGTTTCGATCTTCATTTCATCACGTTATTGCCAGCGACAGCGGGCCTACTACGACGAGCTGGTTTGGTGATCCATGTAGATTTGAGACTGCATGACTCATGTTCACATAGTTTCAGAATTGCTGAGGATTCTGTAAGGGATGATCGAAGTGTTCTCAATATCCGAAATATGGGTCATAGATGGGTCATACTGTTCCCATGCGACATCTTTTTCTTGGGGAGGACACAACCTCTGAAGGGCCCTTGGATGAAAAACCTCTGACTCTGACGTCTCAGCAATGGGGAGGGGCCCAGCTGCGAAGTGTGCGTCCGTTCGGGGCTTCCCGAGGCTGGAGTACCACGATCTTTTGAGCCTCTTCGAGCAGGGACGCCCAGAACGCGCCGAGCGAGCGAAAAAGAGAGTGTTTCTGGTCTTTTCTTCCCAAAAGCATCTCCGTTGCTTGGGTTCTCGTTTAGTCGCTAGTGCCGCGGAAGAGCGAGACAAAGCAAGCGTTGTCGTGGACGGAAGATGGGTGTTCATCTTCTATCTATATAGGAAAACACACTGATTGATAAACATAAACTTGATAAACCGCCTAGAAGGTTTGTTATTTGGGGAGTCGGAGAGGGTCTGAAACATGTTTTTTACTTTTCTCATGGGGAGACCCCTATCACTAAATCTCTCCATGAGGAGGGACCCCAAAGACTAAATCTCTTCATGAAGGAGAGATCCCGAAGAAGAATCTCTTCCTGGGGAGAGACCCAAAGGCGATATCTATTCATGAGGGGGCTGCAGGACCATAGGATTAGGCATTGGTGAATTTCAAGGGGTTGAAGAAAGATCAGGAAAGGCGGTGAGTGCCAAGAATTGGTCCCAAAGAAGGGTGAACCATGGTGAACCTAACCAAACTTATCGTGGGGGCTTATTGCACACAACTTTCAATCATGCGGTTAGTATTGCCGGAAGGAGGCGATGGTTGCAGGATGGAGCTGGATCGGTGGTTGCCCGAGAAGGGTTCGCGCTCGCAGGTTTTTGGATAATGGAGATGGTCACATCACCCTTACCGTGCCTCGGCGTGCAGAATGCGATGCGCGATGATGGGAACGCGTGCCTGTGGGTTTGGATACAAATCCATTGCATGAGGGGAATGCTTAGACTTTCGACTCTTTGAGACATGGGGAGCACTGTTTTTGGCCTCATCTCGATGTTTGAGAGAACGGCGAAATCACCATGTCCCTTTCGTGGACACTTTGACACTTTGAGAACACAAGAAAACAATTTTCTTATTATCAAATCCCTTGGAGAGCCGTTTGGTTGATTTGCTCGAAGCCTTTGTCAAGTGTATCTCAAATCATCTCAAACATAGAAACAATATTCTTACCTAAGGAGTCGGTGTATTCTACCCTTTCTCAGTTTGTATTACTCATGTATTTTTCATGTGCCATATCTATTCTTGGTACTCGTTTTTCCCTTCTCCGACGCTCCACTGCGGCCCCTGACCGAGGAGTTCATCGACGGGGCAGCAAGGCTACGAGGCGGCGCCAAGGCTGGGAGGGGGGCGGCGCCGGCCTCGGATCGGCGGAAGAAGATAAGAAGTAGGTTGTCACCTGATAAGATAAGAGAAGAAGTGGCGGAAATTCGGCCTTGGGTGTATTTTTGTTGGTGATGTGACCTGATAGATAGCTGTTATATGGATATAATATAATATATTTATATATATATATATATATCGTGGATCTATGTGGATCCTGGCTATATTCGTTTTTTTACAGGTTGTAGGCCTCATTTGTTCATCGTGCTTGCATGGAATGGTGACCCACCAACGAGTTGCGATGGTGGTAGGGCTGGATGACCGGAACTGGCGAGTCTCCCCAACGTAGCAAGCGCCGTGAAAGAGGTCCTTGTTTGGCAGAATGGACCTCAAAACATGTGCCATGCGCCGCGCTTGTTGCTTTCATTCCTTTTTTCTTCTCTCTCTCTCTCTCTCTACTTTTTGTCTTCCACTCCCTCTCTTGCCCAAACATCACCAAACACAGCCATGGGATCCGCCGCGCCAGGCGATCGATGTGTGGCGTTTGGAAACCAAGTTGGAGGTGCTCTTCGAGGAGGCGCTTTCTGCCAGGGGTTCGAGTCCATGTGGGTCCATGTGGGTGATAAGTCCAGGGGGTTGAAGCTCCAGGAGATGTTTGAGACTGGAAACACCACTCCCGGGCTTAGTCTTTGGGTTCCCGACGGGTTGTGAGAGCTTGTGAGAGAAGGGTGGGTGTAAATATGAAAGGGTACCTGTGTTGGAATTGGTTCTAGGCTCAGAAATCTAAGTATACTACAAACCCAAGCAAGGAAACGCCACCAGGCTCACAGTTTCAATGCCAAGCCAGATGTCCAAGGTGATCTAATGATCCAATAGGCCCACTTGTGTGGGGCGGGTGTGTCAACCAGCGTTGCCTTGTGGACACTTGGGTTGTGTCTTTTTCGAGCATCCTCGTGCTTAGGATTCTGTGGATGGAAGGAGAAAAGGGTCAAGTCAGGTCCACCTGGTGATGCCACCTGATGAGTCCATGGCACCATGGCACAGTCTCTTCAGCCATGCACGGCGCGCCCTTCCCATTCAAAGGTCCCACTTTCCCAGTGAAGGACTTCGGTTGACATCGGTGTCCTTCCGAAGTCACACCCAAAGGTGCCTTCCGAAGACATCAGTCTGTCTTTAGCAGAATCTGTGGAACTGAAGCCCCCCTTCTGTCTCTGGTTCCCATCGTGGTGGTTGGACCGGCCGCCACCGCTCCGTTTTCGCCGTGGTGTGGAGGTCTTCGACAAGGTCCTGGACCGGGTCACAGCCGCCGAGCAAGGGGAGCAAAGCATCCCAACACTGGACAGGCAGCGATGGAACCCGATCTGGACGAATGGATGAAGATGCAGATCGATCGGGTAGGGAACGTTTCGATGTGACGAATAAGTTGGGTGTATATGTGGTTTGCGAAGCGTGTGGTGGAAGGATATGATTGGCGGAAGAAATGAGTTTGAAAATCCTTCACTGAAATCACTTTTTGTCATGACACCTTTTCACGATCGCAGAGCGCTCTTGAGCTGGTTCAAAAGTCCGTCCT